AAAAGCTACTGGTGATCCAACAGTTAGTTACTCGTAGTACCTGTGTTTTCTCCAATATGCATAGGATGATGTGGTACCTAAAGTGGGTTACACACACACACACACACACACATACACACCCCTTCAGCCTCATAATCTGAGGATGTTTTTTGCTGACGATCTGTACCACCTTGTAGAGCTGTGTAATCATATTTGGACCTGGCTTCTATACATCAGACTGTCCCGAGAGTTGGATAAGTTTCTTAAAGCATGATTGGCCTAAAATAATTTATCGTTAATTCTAAGTAACCACAAACGGGTTGATCGTAAGAGGGCCTATGAATCTAGAATCAGAAAACGAGATCTCCCCGAGTCCCTCCATTGGGATGTGCTTCTTTGTTCCCACAGACCACAGTGTAATCTCAACCCGGATCACAGTCCTGGAAGGATGCATCCTGAGCTGTCCTTCCAATGTCTTTCCTCGTCAGAGATGGGATGTGATGGACAGGGCTCCAGGCTTAGTTGCAGGCAGCCAGGGCAAGAAACAGACACCAGGGTGAGAGGTAAGAGCCTAGAAACGTTTGCCTGGCCTATGTGCTAAGACCCCCCCAGGACTTCTGCATCCTAACCCTGAGCTCATCCAACCTGGAAAAGGCGGCGGTGGCGGTGAAGCCACGAGGCAGAAGACAGGCTTCCTTTGCAGGCTCTCCTTTCAGCCATGACACAGCTCTCTGAACTGCCTTAAGGCGATGGATAGAAACAGTAGAAAGGAGTAGGGGAGGAAATGGGAGGAGAAGTTCAGGGTGGAAATGAACGAGACGGTGGCCAGAGTTGATGAGAGTTGATGGTGTAGCTCCTGTCTTGCTTGTGAATAATCACAGTCTAAACGGGTCCACCACGTCCCACGGAACCTCCTCAGGTAAGTGACGCGTGGGCACCTTGGCTTTCCTAATCATCAGAGAGAAGGGAAGAGGTACACAGGCGTGCAAGCAGAAAAGGGCTCTGTGTCTGCGTCCGTGTCCCACTCCAGCCCGAGGCTCGGCGCATCGTGGCTGATGGCGTGGAGAGCCTCGGGTCTTCCCTAGCACCAGGGAAGTCTACAGTTCCCCCCATGCTGCCAACCCCGTTCCCCCGAGCAGCAAGACCCCCTCCACAGAGCACAGAGCAAGGGCTGGGACCTGCCTATAGCAGGCCTTGCTGTGAGCAGCGGGCTGCACACCTTTCTGAAGATCCCCTCAGGGAAACCAAATCTGGACCTGCTCTTGAGGATTCTGGGAACTTCCTCTCTTCCATCCTGGAAGTGGGACACACTCTCTCTCTGCCTTCGCCTTCCCCTTCCTGCTGTTGAGACACTCAGAGAGCTGGAGGAGCATCATGCCAGCACTGAGATGCTTCCACCACCACTGACTCCACAGACTCTGCACCCACTGGCCTGTGATCTTCCTGCATTCGGCATCACTGCTTGTGCTGTGCAAG